ACTTACTTAGCAAAAACACGATGACGCTCACAAATAACGAGAGCGGATGTTGATAAGAACACACTATATATGCCGCGAAGGCTATATACAAAAAAAATATTATAATTTTATTTATAATAAGCTTAAAAAAGAATTCTTTAACGCGCTCGACGAACAAGATCACATATAACTTAATTATCTGAATACTTTACATTATTAGTTTAAATTATTATTTTAAATTATTATTTTAAATTATTCCCTACTATCAAAGAATTTTTATAGCGAACAAAATTCAAATATTATCAATATAAATATCAATTATTTAATTAAAATATTCGTCTTATTTATAAGCGAGTCTTACATTAGGTTTAGGCGTTTTAAGGCTTCGGTTTGTTTGGATATTGTATGTGTGTTGATGTATATGTAAGAATAAAAAAAAAAAAGAAAAATGTATTTAAAAAATGTGCATAAATGTCACATATTGTCGTCAATCTAATTATTTTAACATAGTTATATTTTTGAAAATGTGTTTGACATTGCCGTGTTCTTGGAATGCACGATGACGAATATCGATCAAATGCGGAATCTAGTTTGATCTGAATCTCGTTCTGGACAAGAATACATTAATTTATATATCGATGCTTGATATGCACTATGATGCGGAATGCAATCCCAATCAATATAAATTCGATCCGGGACGATTCAATAAAAAGAACAAACATAATACCATCATGCGTTTACTTCCCATTCAGGGAAAACTCGAGCGCATTCGTAAATAAGAGAATCAATTTAATTATGAAAAATTAAAGGTCGACGTATTTCCAAACACATATCAAGTCAGAATGAATCATTAAGTATCGATTTTTTGTATTTTTTAACAGTCTAAATTTATAGGAATTATAAATATCACTGAAATTATTTTAAAATTATTTATATTTCAGAAGCGGAAATTGTATGGTTTGTAATATACTTCAATAACAATATATTTTAAAAATGTTTCTTTTTCCGAAATGCTCTTTTTCTCCATATTATTTTAGAAAATTGTAAAATTTTTCTAAGAACAAAATATTAAACAAAATTAAAATGCTTTTTAGACCAAATTTACAACTATATATGATGATATTATTCTTTGAAAAAGTATTTCGTAATTCTCTACAAAAATTTGTACAATACTTAATCTTGACATATGTTAAAGAGGATTTTAAAATTCAATAATTTTTAAACTACGTTTATAGTATATAGGAAAACATAGTATATAGGTAAGGTAGAAATGATATATATCAACAAAAAATATGACATATCTTTGATATATGACTTTAACATATGACTGTGACATATGACTTTGGCATATATTTAGAAGATGATAATGTTTTAAAGAATTTTGAAAAAAATTTGATTTACACTATCCTTTATTATTCATTAAAAAATTAATAAAGAATGTTGCGCTTATGCAAACAAGCGTGATAGTTTAATTCAATACAAAGTTTGTTTCAATACAAATTTGCATTAATTGCATGTTTACACATTAAAGTCGATGCATGGGCGTACATAAAAAGAGCTTCATTTTTTTCTGCACTTCAAACCCGAGTAAAACAAGAGCTTTGCCTTTTTGTTTTGCCCATGCAATCATCATCAATGACGATTTACGATTCTCGGCTTAGTTTTGTATATATGTATAGTTATATTTTCAATTTAAAATATCACAAAAACTATAAAAGAGCACCATCTAATTTCAGACGTAAATTAGTCAGAAATATACCATCTACAACGTACCTATATGTTGTCAAGATTAAGATGATCTGTGCAACTTTTTGTAAAAAATTACCAAGTATTTTTGCAAAATAAAGTACAAATCTTTTATATCCAATCAGTGTATCTCATCCGTTCATTATTATATATGTATGTATGCACGTATATTGTAGGTATATCGTCTTTTATATCGGCGTTTAAATAAAAAGATTTTTAAGCCGCGCGATATCAAAGACACGTCTACACTTCTCTTTAGTAATTTCTCTTAATATAAGATAAAATAGTTAAAACATATTTAGTATATCTGATCACAAATGATTCACACGGATATATTGGATGATTGCATAAGTTCGTGCCCGATTTTCATAGATGGCATTAAGTTACTGCATGGCGGAGTTCTATTGTTTTCGTGTGGTAATTGTTGCTTACACCGAATAGATGACGTTGTCTTATGTCAATTTAGCGTCAGACATTGTTCAGATAAGTCCATTTGTGCATAAGAGAAATCATTAAAAATGGAGAACGAAAAGGTGCATTTGCGGCATGTAATGTTATATGAATTTCGGAAAGGCGTGAGTGTTGGGATTGCACAAAAAAATATTCAAACCGTTTATTTGGACCGCGCTCCTGCTCTCCGAACAGTCAAAAAGTGGTTTGGCAGATTTCGAAATGGTGATTTCAACATGGAGGATCAACCCCGCTCTGGACGGCCTTCTGGCATTGATGATGACATTGTGCATGCCTTAGTGGAAAGAAACCCAAGGATTACAACTGAGGATATTGCTGAGAGGCTGAACATCGATAATTCAACCGCTTTTCGTCATTTAAAAAAGCTTGGATACGTTTCCAAGCTTGATACATGGGTGCCGCATCTCCTGACTGAAAGGAATAAGCTAAACCGTATGACTGTGGCTCTTTCTCTTCTCGAGTGTAACAAAAAAGAGCCTTTTTTAGATCGAATGGTAACAGGCGATGAAAAGTGGATTCTCTACAAAAACGTACAGCGAAAGAGGACATGGAAAACAGCAGCTGAAGGAGCAGAACCCGTAGCAAAGGCTGGCTTGCATCCGATGAAGGTGTTGCTGTGTGTTTGGTGGGATCGCAAGGGAATTATTTACTTTGAGCTGCTCCGACGCGGCGAAACAATCACGGTGGACAAGTACTGTGAGCAACTAACTAACTAGACTCGCTGCAGCTATTCTAGAAAAACGTCCGATTTTGGCCAATCGAAAAGGCGTCATCTTCCACCACGACAATGCTAGGCTACACGTCGCTCAACAGACGCTGCGAAAACTGCAGGAGTTGCAATGGGAAATTCTGCAGCACCTGCCATATTCTCCAGATATTGCGCCTTCAGATTTTTATCTGTTCCGGTCTTTGCAGAATAGTTTAAATGGCAAGAATCTTAATTCCGAGGAAGCTGTCGAAAACCACTTTACAAACTTTTTTCAAGAAAAACCAAGTTCAAATGGAATCAATGGAATCGACAAGCTTATAGATCGTTGGAAAACCATTGTAGAAAAGAATGGAGACTATATAATTGATTAATAAAAGTGAAATATAATCAATATAATCTATTGAAGTTTATATTTAAATCGGGCACGAACTTATGCAATCACCTGAGAGGGGGTCTAGGGGGTCTACAGGTGCCGCGTAGACTTCAAGAACTCGCCGACCAAGAACTTCCAAGTGAATCTCACGGTGATCGGTGAGATTACCGTAATGTTCAGCTGGACGACGAGGGGGTCTACAGGTGCCGCGTAGACTTCAAGAACTCGCCGACCAAGAACTTCCAAGTGAATCTCACGGTGATCGGTGAGGGAAAACTCATTACCGTAACGACCGCCCCGTAACATTGCCTCCGTATGATTAACTGCGCTCCTTAACGCGTAAAACGCTTCAAGATCGTCCGAAGATCTCTCCCGTGGCAAGAAAAGGGAGTGAGACCGGGGGGTGGGGCGGTGGGGGGGG